CCGTCGTTTCAGGATTTCTCGCCGCCGTGCGCCGCTCCCATCTCTCCGCTCTCTGTTCTTGGGGGATTACAAGATCTGTCTCCCACGCACCCAATCCTTAGCCCAACCGTTATTTCTTCTTCTGCTTCCATTCTTCAGCCAAAGAAACATTTTCTCTCTGTAAATATAGCTCCAAAAACCAATCCCAGAACCAAAAGAAGGTACCATTTTCTGCAATTTTTCCTTTTTTCTGGTTAAAGATTGGATTTTTAGACTGAAAAATTACAATCCAACGGATGCCCATTTCTTTGATTCGTTTATATTGATAGATTTTATCTGTTTTTTTTGTATTATTTCAATGTATAGAAAGAACCAGATGAAGAGGGTGTGCCAAGTGCCGGCGGAGGGTTTATCTTCTGATGTTTGGTCTTGGAGAAAATATGGGCAAAAACCCATCAAAGGCTCCCCATACCCAAGGTAAATTAAAGGGTCTTTCTTCATTTTATTTTGAGATTTTTAAAGAATGAAAATCAAATGATCTGAATTAAACATTTCAAGAATGAATGATTGAAGATGTTCTGAATGTATATTTTTTTGCCCAGAGGGAAAAAAAATTGGTAAAGAAAGAAGAAACATATAAAGAGTGAATAAAGATGATCTGAATGTTTAATTTTTGTGGATTTTGGTTTGATTTGATTTGATTGTGCAGGGGATATTACAGATGCAGCACATCAAAGGGGTGTTTGGCAAGAAAACAAGTGGAGCGGAACAGATCCGACCCGAATATGTTCATCGTGACCTACACGGCGGAGCACAGCCACCCGATGCCCACCCACCGGAATTCTCTCGCCGGGAGCACCCGACAGAAGCCGACGACGACGACCCATCAGCCGGAAACCCCCGGGGAGGGAAACAAACTAGGCAACTCGTCGCCGGCGCCGGAGAAGCAGGAAAGCAGCAGGGACGAAGACAAGGAGGACATCTGCGACGACGAGGAGGACGGCGCGTCCAATCCGGAGTTGGACGTGGCGGCGGCGGCTCCGGCGGACGACGACTTCTTCGAGGGCCTGGAAGATCTCGTCGGGGATTGCTTCCCTTCTAATTTGCCGGCCTCCGGCGTTCAATTCCCCTGGCTGGGGAGCACTGCGGCGACCACCGCCGCCGGCGGCAGTTGACCGTCGGAAAAGCGAGAAAAGGGGGAAAGAAACGGTGGATGCTTTTCTTGCTCGTCACTTCTCTCTCGAACTTTGGTTTTTGGCCGTTAGAGATGGGGGAAAACTCCAAAGTAGTAATCTGAGCACAAGAATCTGTCTAGTCTAGGGGGAATTTCACCTAAATTAGAGCCATATGTTAGTCTTTATTATTGTTCATTGTATGATGAGGGTACATATACATTTATTTATATATATCTGAATGTCATAAGTTGATTTTAGTTGTGGACAATCAAGATTCAAGAATGAATGTGACCTAACTTGAGTGAAAATGTTTCTTATTTGCAATGTTTGAGAGACATTTTTTAGTACGAATATTTCTATTATAATTGTAATACGAATAATTTTTCAATCTATTAAAGTATGTATAATTAGCGAGATTGAACATGTCATTTCTTGTTAGAAAAAATAATGGGGAAACCCCAATTTTGACACCATCCTCACACATGCATTCATAGGCATTTGGTATTGTTTTGTAAGTACTCCCTCCGTCCCCTAGTTTTGTCCACTTTTGATTTTTAGAACTGTTCATCTAAGTACTTTGACTCACCAAATTCTCTCAATGTGTAAGTCTAAATATAGTCACGTGTGATCTTGTTTGATTTGTTTTAACATATAGATTATTAATATATAATTCCTATAATTTTTAATATACAAATTACAAGATAAAATGGATTAAAGAAGTGCATTGGATGGTGTGTAAAAATGAAAATGGACAAATACTTTGGAACGAAGAGAGTATATATGAATACATGTGATATTAAAATTGACTTAATTCTTTTGTCGCACTACATTATGTTAGATACCTCACTTTTTACATACGGAGTATAAGACCTCACGATGTGGTCACGTGGAACGGGCTATGGGATGGTTACGTAAGACACGGTATTGCGGTTTACTGCCCCTCTCCCTCGTAAACAGGATGGTCGAGGTTCCCACTTCGACGAACCCGGTCGGCGCCCCCTCCCCCCTTCCAAATTAGTCGTTGAATGGATAGACTACCTCCGTCTCAGAGTATTTGTCGACTTTCATTTTTACACACCATCCAATACATTTTTTTAATCCATTTTATCTTGTAATTTGTATATTAAAAAATTATAGAAATTATATATTAATAATCTATATCTTAAGACAAATCAAAGAAGATCACACATGACTATATTTATGCTTACATATTGAGAGAATTTGATGAGTCAAAGTGCTTAGATGAACAGTTCCAAAACTCAAAACTAGACGAATACTCCGGGACGGATGGAGTATTTTTTTTAAAGAAATACTAAAATAGGAGTGAATGATAAATAAAGAACTAAAATAGGACTTTTATGTTTTATAACAAAATAGGATTTAAAATGTCAATAATGTCAACATATATGAAGAAAAACCAAAGTAGGACCAAAACATTGAAAATATACCAAAATAGGACTTCCATGTTTTTATTCCCAAAATAGGACTACATTACCAAACATGGTCATATACATTACCAAAAAAGTATAGTAATTTGCACATGTACACTGCCACATTACCACAATGCAAAGTCACATTACCACAGTGCAAAGTCCTATTCCGGGAAAAAAACATGAAAGTCCTATTTTGGTACTTTTCTCTATGATTTAGTCCTATTTAGGATGATTTTTACAACATATAATACCAAAAAGTATTGAAGAATGTCAATATAAAATATACATTACTGTAGTGCAAAATCCAATTTTAGGTTAAAAAAGGACATATCTTTCATATTTTGATGATAAAGACTATGTTTTGTCCTTACTTTGGTGGTTTCCTTATATTTTTTTCCACTTTTTCTACACCCTCTATCCCAAAAAAATCTTCTAGTTAACATTCACATATCAAACTAATTCTACTTTCTTTATTCTATGAAAATAAGTACACTAAAATTATAATGAATTAAAATATAAGAATTATAATAAAATTATTGGTATCGAAAAACATTTTAAATATAGTATCTAATATTTCTTCATTTATATATTTTAAGAGATATTTTTAAATAAACTTTAAGTTTAAAAAGTGAACTAAAAATAGGAATGAAAGGAGTGGAGAGTATTAATTAAAACAAGGCTTGGGGGGAAACACGTGTGACCCATGCATTATTTGATTTATTTCTAGAGGTATGGACTATGGACTATTCATTACCCCGTACAAGACTACGAGTCTACGAGTCACTTTTTTATAGAGAAATTTAAATAGCACTAAAACATAATGACTTTTCTTAAATAATACCACATGTGTTTTTCTTCCTAATGTAGTATTTTTAGTCATTATCCATTAGTCATTATTCAAGTAAATATTCGCCATCACAGGACATTATGGACATTATTAAGTGCTATTTAGGAAATAAAACAATATAAGTGCTATTTAGGAAATAAAACAATATAAGTGCTATTTAGGGAAATGACTTAAATTTTAGTGCTAGTTAGTGCAAATATTTCTTTTTATAAAGCCGTTTGTAAAATTCAATTTGTATTCTTTATTAATTAAGAGATTTTTTTCAAGATATTAAGAAAAATATTAGTTGCACTGTTATCTGGAATTAGAGATGAGTAAAATATTTTTGTATATTTCTAACGCTGTGAAGCAGCGTTAAAGTCTTTTAAACAACGAAGAAATTGATGAACAAATTAATAGTTTGACAAATCGCATAAACACTTTCAGATCAAAGTTATTTCGGGGTATATCAAAATTCTTTAATAGGATAAGACATTAATAAAAAACTTGCACTTCGAATTCACCCTCAACCCTACCAGCGAAACTCTTTTATAGAGCCGAAAATTGGAGACTAGACATGAACGTCTACGTAAAGATGTGAACATTCGCGCGTAGAGATAGAGACAAAAATTTAAGAATGTTTTTCGCGAAGAATTTTTTGTGATTTTAGGGTTGATTTAGACGTTTTATCCATAAGTTCGAGTCTTTATGGTGTTGGACTTCGTTCACAAAAATCTGAAGGATTTTTACAAAGCAACAACACCTGAAATAAAAAATTTCCAACCACCCTGTCCATGGGCTCTATCCCTTGGACATATTAACCAGCATCCTTTTCGGCCCATTCTAACAAACACTAGACATATTACCGTAATAATTTATTGGAGATAAGAATCTTACCATAAGATTCTAATCCAAAAACAATACGAGTCCGTTTGGTATAGGAAAATTGACTAAATAAGAATTATATTGAATTAGATATAGTTGAATTCTCTAATTTCAATTCATTTTTTACAATACCAATTTTTAATTCACGTATTTTTGTATTACAAAATAAACAAATTAGAATTAAAATCTCCAATTCTAATTTTATAATTCAAATTTTATGTAACAAATGGAGCCTACAGAAATTGCTCTACGTGAAGGTGAATTGATTTTTGGTCGCCTGACCTTTATGTCAAAGCGACACCACGTCTTGATAAAGTTGTGCATTGCCTTTGTTTTTTGTTCGGTGAAATCAATATAGACACGTAGCAATTAATAGAACAAAATTTTACCGGTATTATAATTCTTCCATATGAAATTCTTCCACTTTATCACAATGAGATAGCCCCTCTAGTTAGGGGTGTGCAGGAACCGGTCTGGACCGGAAATTAGACTTGAACCGGACCGAAATGGACCGGTCCGGACCGACCCGGAGTAATCAGGTCCGGTCTCCGGTCTTAATGAATTTTAGATTCCGGGTTCCGGTCCGGTCTAAGACCCGGAAATAACCGGTCTGGACCGGAATTATTAAATACATTATTATTTTTAATTTTTTTAATACCTATCCTATTATAATTCCTATCCAGTATCCACTAATCCAAGTAACAAATAAGACCTCTTCAGACGCTACTGTCTTGTGTGATTGTTGTTGACATGCCAAACAAGGCCTAAAACCTCAATGCACGAGCAGGAGAAGCTGGAGATACAAAAGGCAGAATACATTGAGAAAATGAAGAACAAGATTGCAATGCTGCACAAGGAAGCCGAGGAAAAGAGAGCCATGATCGAAGCCAAACGTGGAGAAGAACTTATCAAGGCAGAGGAGTTGGCAGCCAAACACCGTGCCACCGGAACCATTCCAACCGCATCTCCTTCTCCTCATCTGCATCTCGTTCGCCAGCCCATTTGTTTTCGTATGAATTTTGTTGATACTCCTTTATTACATTTCTTATCTTATTGATTTCTATTAAATTATTGTAGATTTGTGGAGTACTTTTTGGTATACGTTCAAACAAATACAATAATCCGGTCCATATTAGGGTAAACCCGGACCGGACCGGTATATTCAGGTCCGGACCGGTAACCAACAGGTCCGGTCTCCGGTCTTAAGAATATCCTAATTCCGGTTCCGGTCCGGTGCACACCCCTACCTCTAGTCACATTTTCAAGGTGGATTCTAGAAATGATCCTTATTTTTTCATATTATATCTATAATCTAAAGATATTATATTTGTAGTTCTCATTTTTTTTGAAAATCATTTCATAATTAGTCTTTTGGACTAAATATGATCATTTTCCATGTATAGTGTTTCAAGGACTGATTATGAAATACGGAGTAGTTTCTAAGAACTGAAGATCATCAATGTTATATACTCCCTCTGTCTCTAAATAGATTACAATTTTTTTTCTTTCTCTTCTCGATAACTTTTGTTTGTTTACGCGATTTCATTAAGTATTTGATAAAATAAAATATTCTCGTCACCTCTTGTTTTGTAGAACTTTTGACGTAGTTTTTTAATATGTAATTTTTATATCTTATTGATATACTAATTTGTAAATAAAATGATTTAAAAAAGTAGAAAATTTTACTCTGAAACCCGCAATTTGTAATCAATTTGGGGACAGATGGAGTATAAGAATTAGAAACTAAATATAAAAGTATCGTGTTATATACTCCTTCATCCCATAAAATTCTTCGTGTTTGAAAAAAATACACCTTTAAAATGAGTAATTTTAGTGTTATTTTCTAATTATGACTCATCTATCCTACAGATCTCATCTTACTCTATCATAAAGTAAAAATAAAAATAGAAAATAGCACGAAAATTACTCATTCTAAGGATGTATATTTTTTTCAAAAAAGAAGAGTTTTATGGGACAGATATTTGTGAAATTTATTCTTATTTTTTCATTCATTTAAAAAAAATTACTTTTCATTTATGAAAAGCTTTTTGTAATTACAAATCACCCTAAACAGGACTAAAACATAGAGGAAAATGCCAAAATAGAACTATCATGTTTTTTTTCCGAAATAAGACTTTGTACTATGATAATGTGACTTTGCTCTGTTGTAATGTGGCAGTGTACATGTACAAATTACTATATTTTTTTGATAATATATATGACCATGTATGTTAATGTAAGTCCTATCTCAAGAATAAAAACATGAAAATCCTATTTTGATATACTTTCAATATTTTAGTCTTACTTTGGTCTTTCTCTCTTTTGTAATCTCTATCATCTCTCTCTCATTCCCTTCTCATTTTCAACTATACTTTTTACTTTTCTTAATCTATATGTTTAGTTAAATGTGAGACATTTTTGTGGGACAAAAGATCATACATATACAATTTTGATTCAAATTTCATTCAAGCTCTGTTTGGTATATAGAATTCACACTATAAAATTACGGAGTAGAATTGAGGATAATAATTCCAATTCTACTGTTTGGTAGCATAAAAATATGTTGATTTAGAATTAGTAGTGTCAAAAATGAATTTGAATCAAAAGATTCAATTTCGTCTAAATATGACTCGACGATCACTGAAAGTAGGTAATTGGACTTTAATCACAGATTAGTAACAAGAAATAGAGCCTACACTTGATATACAAACTCTATGTTTAGCATAGTTGTCTCTCACCGCAGTAATCAAACTCGGGTCTACCTCCTTCACACTCCCTGCATTTGCCAACTGCGCACCATATCCTTCATAATCTAGTCACGCCTTGCGCCTTGGCAGCAGGAGTTGTATGCAGTTATTTTCGGAACACTTTATCAACCAATTTCCCTCTTTTAGGTCAAAAAGGATTTTCCTTTCGTGGTTAACCATATTTCTATTCATTACAAAAACCTACCTAAATAAGATTAACATATTAAACTTATGCTAAAATAAAACCTCCTATCCCCTAAATAGAATTGTTCACATTCTGAAATGCCTAGAATGACATTGTGTTTTGACATTTCATAGTGTTTTTTGACATTATATATTAACATTAGTTGATATTATGTCTTATTTTTCTTATAGAAATATTGAAGGTTCTATAGTACCCTTCTTATATTTAATATAAATAAATAAGCATTTAAAAAAACCCTCAAATGCTTGGAAAAAAGAGTGTTTTAAGGATATTGACAAAATGAAAAGGACCCCTAAACTTGTAACAAATGAAAAACACAAAGTGTTTACAACTGATGAAGCCAACTTTAAAACCTTAGGCTTTCCCGGTCCACGGCATATTCTAGTCACATATAGTGCAATTCTATGGTGCCGGTTTGACAAGACGACACACACGAGTTATGAAGCCCTACTCTTCCTGGAAAAAAAAGCACGGCTTCATAAATCGTGTGACACCGCACCGAATCAAGAGAACATTCCCTTGAACTAATACATATCCTACATGCATATACTAAGTTTTTTTTTTGTATTGCCATTGCGCTGAAAAATATACTGCAAGAGCACATACCGAGTCTTAGCTTTTTTAGTTGCAGGTCTCTCTGTGGATCTTTTTTGACGCATTAAAGGTCATCATCTCCACAAAAGGTTGATGGCACAACCACAAGGACTACTCGGCTCGTCCATTCCTCCCCGGGTTTCAATGTGACGGGTTTCTCTATTGCTGCTGCATCAACGCAGATCATCTGTTTGTACTCTTCGTCACCAAGATCTGCCATGGCCTTGGATTTCTTCTCCCATGGATTCCACACCGCTGCAAACAGGAATATATACCATCAATTAATGACTCTACACTGTCTCTATTTTAGTACTGCTAACTCTATTGCAATTTAGGGTTCGAACGTGTGACTATCCATTTGGGAGAGTCACAGTTATGTCGCTTGATCACAACGTCTTTTTTCATTGTATCACTTTTATTGTGTGTCAATGTACGGTGTTACAAGTGAAGTATCATACCAACATCTGGCAGTCCATCTTTCTTCACAAGATACGTTTGTTTCCTTTCATGGTCAAGCACAGCAATAGAATTCGGAGTGTTAACGTAAACACGATCAAGCTGCAAGAGAAGCATTTCTTATATGATATAATGTGTTGTGATTTGAAATATTAAAAAAAAATTCAAAATCCGGTGACTGGGTTTGATATGAAGACATCATCTCACTCCATATAATGTAGGATGTATGACAAATCATTCTTTTGAACAATGTTGACAATGCTAACATACAACACAGATATGAATGTTTGGTAACTGAAAGACAACGTAGTTTGCCAAAATTCAAAAGGAACATAAACTCATACAAGATATGTTCTTCCTTCAAAATACAACAACCCAATATAATCCCAACTCCATTGGGGTCTGGGGGGTCAAGATGTATGCAGTCTTACCCCAGTAAAAACAGAGACTGTTTTTGTTACACCCTGGATGCATTGCGGGATCTACTGCCCAAAAGATCATAGAAAGTAAGAAGCAAAGGAAGTTTAATGTGTCATTTTGATTTAGTCCATTAAGTGCCCAAAAATAAAATTTTGTCAATAATACAAGAAAACGGTTGCTGCCAAAGAGTTGTTGTAGAAGAATGTGATCTGAGAAAGAAAGACCAGCTCCATTTCAATATTTTAAATATAAATCCAAATAATTCCATTTACCTCACACTCAAATGTTATTGCATCTCCTTGCTCTGTGAAGCGTTCTCTACGGGAGAGATTGTCAAGATAGTCCAGTGTTTCCAATCCTTCTATCCTCACTTCACTGCAAATGATTATTAAAGTTTTGCCAAGATTGTATAGGAATTGAGCTGAACAGAAATGATCACAAAGCAATCCAAAATACACGATGAAATGAATTTCGGGTATTTCATTTTACAGAATAGGTGACCACTCATATAGAAGTCAAAAGGCTACATTTTGTATGACTTGATTTATGGATCAACCCTAATCTCTATTAGACATGGACAAGTATGAAGTATGCATGACAAGCAAACAAGAAAGAGGATAAAAAGGCTCACCTTATATCAGAGATGGACAAGTATGTATGACAAGCAAATGAGAAACTAAATGTTTTGCCATTGATGTTTCTAACACGAGATATCACAGTGAGATTTCCATCAGATGCTAGACAAACCCTGAGCCGCAACTCAAAACTGGAAACAAAAGGACGATTTCAGTCAGCAGCCTTTTTTACTGTATAGCCCTTGTTTTTCTTTTTGATGAAAAACCCAAGTAAGACTTTTAGATATATCATACAGCCGTGCATGCCCCATTTCATCTGTACCTACTGTCGGAGCTAAGGTTAAAACAGAAGTTGCTAGGAGAAATTTATAGGCATACCTGTGAGGCCAGAACTTCAAATCCTCGTCCGACGGTCTTAGTAGTAAGTCAACAAAAGATTTTCCACGAGCATCAAATGAATGCAGAGATGGAGGATCATTATCGATGGTCCAAAGTTTGCTTCTTGCAAATCCATGATGCTCAAGTGAACCGCCATTACCAAACTGCATCATGGTTATCGTTATGATAAGAACAATCACAAGAAAGTCAGTATAATCCTAACTCATTGGGTTAAGGACCACTGGATCAATATGTACTCAACCTTACCCCTGTAAACAGAGAGGCTGTTTCTCTTAAGGCGTTTGATGCATTGTTGCATTTTCTTCCTAAAACTTCATAGATAGTAAGAAACAAGAGAATTTTAATGTGTCATCTTAATTGCATCCTTTATTTATCTGAAGCTAAAACATTGTAAAAATTACTCTTTTTGCAAGGTTGGCAATGAAAGACTTTCTCCATCAACTGAAAGCAAGCCGAAGATCAAATTACCTGGGGAAAGCAAATACAAATTCCTCCTCTTACAGCTTTTGGTGACTTTATGGCCTACGCACAATAAGCATACAAAGATTATAGTGAAAGACAGATAGTTATTAATACCATAAATAGAGAAAACTTCTTTCGGTAAGGCGTGCAAAACAGATATGAATTTTCATTGAAATGTTTAACTTACTCCAAGGAACAACTCAGACATGAAATAGCTAAATACTCCATCCATCCCAAACTAGTTTTCCAACTTTTCCCACTTTGATTTAACAAGATCAAGAAAAGGGTTCGTAACAAATAACGAGGTTAATAAATGTATTGTAAAGTAAAAAACTAGATTAAGAAAAGGGTTGAAAAGCAAAATGAACAAGAAAGCATTTGGGAGGTGTAATCGAAACTCGAAAGTGCTTAAACTTAGGTGGGAAGGAGGGAATTTTAACATGAGAGTGTGCTTCTATAGACAATTAAGACTTCACGGAGCATCACCTTGCTACTGGTGAAAAGGAGTTCTTCGCCCCGAACATTCCGCCATGAAGTAATCTGTCCTCCACTCAAGCTCACCTGAATTCGGGCAAAAATAATCACCAATTGACAGAAAATGCAAGGTAGAATCCCTAAAACCAGAGATAAATCGGAGATTTATACCGTGGCGGAGGCGCCGTGAGGAGTACGGAGCACAACCTGATCGATCCCATTCGAGTCCTTCGTCACTCCAATCGCAGCTCTCGGATCCCAAACTGCAGCATAATGCCCCATTTCGCAAAGCCAGCGCAGATCTCTCACACTTCTCTCCCAAAAACCTCCAGAACGGCGGCCGGAAGTTGAAAACGCCGACGGAGGTGGCCGGAAGACGGTCACTGTTTCAGTTCATGTGTGCAACAACTATCATCAAAACGGACAAAATCGCAAAGCTCAGAGCTGCTGAAGTAGCTTTTGTAACAGCTGGAAAAAGTATAGTAATTTCTTGCATAGGAAATGAGATTTCGCTCATGAGATGTAGACCATTAAAGACTCTCGTCTCTATCGTAAACAGACGGACAAGCAGATAGGGAAATTATTTTCTAACTACTAAAAAAGAGAAAAAGACTAAAGTGGTAATAAAATACGGAGTATTAAACAAATACGGAGTACTAAAATAAAAATTCTAGCCAATCATATTCATATGCTCCCTCCGTCCCGGAGTATTCGTCTAGTTTTGACTTTTGTGACTGTTTATCTAAGCACTTTGACTCATCAAATTCTCTCAATGTGTAAGCCTAAATATAGTCATGTGTGATCTTGTTTGATTTTTCTTAACATATAGATTATTAATATATAATTTCTATAACTTTTTAATATATAAATTACAAGATAAAATGGATTAAAGAAGTGTATTGGATGGTGTGTAAAAATGAAAGTGCACAAATACTCTGAGACAGAGATAGTATATTACAAAAAGGTATTGTGAAATATCTATAAACAGTATCACAATATGAACTCTTATTTTGAAATAAAAACATTGAATTCTTATTTTGGTACTTTCTCTACATTTTATTTCTATTTAAGATGATTTCTTTACTAAAAACGTATATTTATTTTCGAAAAAGATAGGTGATACAATTTGATACGGAGTAATAATTACGAAGTAATTTTATTGAATAATGAATAATTCATCCTTATTTATACTAGTAGAATATATATAGCGAATTCTATTTAGAGAATTCTTGTTATGGTAACAGTTGAATATGAATGTAAATAATAATAATAATAATAATAATAATAATAATAATAATAATAATAATAATTCTCTTATTATCACTATTATTCTTAATATCTTCGTAACCTGGTCATAGGTAACGAAGAGCAACTTCGAACCCAACACTTGAATTGCAACGCCACAAAAATAGGTTTATCAAAATTAATTAATAATTAATTAACCAAAAATAGGTCTATCAAAATTAATCAATAATTAATTAATTACTGAGAAAAGATCCAAAAATAAGTGATTTATAAAATTTTTCAATAAATAATAAAAACTATATCGTTGTGTAGAGTTTAACTGGCTGGTCAGAATGGTTCAATGAAATTTTATTTCGAAGAAAGTTGAACCAAAATGTGTACCCCAATTGGAATCAAAGTAGTCCCAATACGGCATGATTTATAAAATCTCCCAAAGTGGCACCGCTCACTCCACTACACCACCCAAACAGGGAAGGGCGACATAGCAGCTGTCTTCTTCTTCCCCACCTTCCCTAAATAAGCTACACATACTCCTCCAATTCCTCACTGAATCTTCCAATCTTTTCTTCTGTTGGGTTCCTTGCTGAGAGAGAAGTGCAGTGGTACGGTGCTGTCCTTTGGGTGTGAGGTTGCTAGAATTGTTAGCAGTCCTCACTGAAAGTTTCACCACAATTTCCCTAAAACCTCCTTTTTCGGACGAAATAAGCCTTTAGATATATCTAGTGATTAGAATGTTCGTATAGATCGTTTATACGTTCATAAACGGTCGTTTGGTTGAATTTTATGTTTGACATGCTTAAAGAACCAAGAATCATTAGCCTTGAAATTGTTGTTAAAACTATGAATTAATGATACCAAAATGATCAAAAAACTTTAGAGAACCTTTTTACATAGTTTAATTGAAGTTTGATGACTAAAAATGAAGTTTTTACAAATTGGCCCGAGGTTGAAGATGACACTATCCAAACTCGCGTAGAGACGGTATTAAGTTACCACTCAGACGGTACCTACGTACCGCCAGAATGGTGGGTCGTACTGCTGGTAAAGGTAGGCCAACTACCGTCTCGATGCGAACAAATTTTTCCTCTTTTGGTATCTACCACCAGACGGTACCGAGGTACAGTAAGGGGTACTGTCTAAACCAAGAATTTTTCCATTAACATGATTTTTGAACTATAAAATCATATTTTGATACCATTCGACTATGACTAATATGAAAATGATTTCTAGAAATAAATATGATGTTTTGACCAATCCAAGAATGTTATGTGATGCATGACGGTAAGCTAGGGTGTTAACATTCGACAATAGGCCGCTATTTATTATTGAGTATTATGATCATTATTATTGATTGTTGATTATGATGATTAAACCTTGACGGATATCCTGATTAAAATAATAATTATGAATAATTGAACCATGATTAAAAATGAATATTTGATGATTATGAAAATGATGTGTATTGTTAAGGTATCTAGAAGAACTTTAAGATAGACCCATGTGACTTAGGGATCTGCAAACCAAACTAGATGATCACTCGTTTGGGGATACCACCCAACCTGACAGTGAGCAGTTTGCTGTCTCGTTCCTTGTGTACCTTAAGCAAAGACTAGTTTAAGAGTTGGAAAGCCATAAGAATTTGGCCTTAGAGTAATGTTAGTTTAAGAGCACTGTTGACACAATGAATATCAAATATTGAATATTGAATCCTTGAAATGAACATTATGTGCATGATATCAAAGATTTGATTATGAATTTAGGTTCTATTCATTTGGATGTTCGATGCATTATATATCCTTACTCAGCTTCACCACTGAGCGTGTAGTATATTTTATTTGCTATACGCAGGTAAATGAAATAAAGAATGATGTGATTGATCCTGGAAGCAGATGAGGATACGAGATGTCATATGGATGTGTGACGGTTTTTGAACTATTCAGTAATTATTTCAAAAATGAATTACTGATTGTGATGTAAAACTATTTATTAAGCTTCCACAAATTTGACAAACTCTAATACTAGTTATGCTATGAACATTATTTGTGATGAATAAAAGTGTTTGAAATGCCTTAAATTTTACGATTAACAAGTTAATACTTTAGTCCGAAAGGGGCGGACTTGGACAGACTAGGGTGTTGCAGGAATGAATGGAGTAAAAGTAGTTTTGTGATTATAGTTGCTAAAAGTAGAGTGGTAAATCTTCGTTGCGTGACGAACAAGCTTGAGGGTACATTTTCTACTTTGCTGATTTTTTTCTAAGATGAGTGATGGTAATTGAAGCGAGGGCTATGAGTTTCTTTTTTCTACTTGTAGGTCGGCTGTTCTTTGCTTCCCTTTCACTTTTCAATCTCTCAAAATCTAGAAAAGACACAGACAAATGCAACGTTTAGTTTTTCAATCACGCACACAGTTTTTTGGAAAGAAAGAGAATAATAAAAGACATCGGCTGTTGACACACAAGTCGGGATCGGTGGTGGCTGCTAAGCACACACTCTATTTTTCTAGAGAAGTAGAAACTCATACTCTGATTCCATGATACAATTTAAAAATACTTGGTCCTACCGAACTATGAAAGTTTCATCCTTATATATAGAGAGTACATAGAAATTTTAATTAGACTAGAATAAGTAATTATGGTAGCAATAAAATAGAAAGTAAATAATAATAATATTCTATTTTCAACAATCATTATTAAGAAACAAATATCGGTATTATTATTTACTTCCTCAGTTTATTGTTATCATAATTGTTATTCTACTATGATTATGATTCTCTTTGTAATTCTTACGTATATAGATGGAACATTCATTATTCAATAAGATCGATTATTATCAAATTATATCATGGTATCGGAGCTAAGATCTCATCTTAAAAACATAGGAGAGATAATAATAATAATAATAATAATAATAATAAACATATTATTATTATTATTATTATTATTATTTACTTATTCTACTCTTACCACAATTGTTATTCTATTATATTTATGATTCTCTTTATATTTCAAATATATATAGATGAAACCTTCATTATTTAATAAAATCGATTATTATCAAATTGTATCGAGAGGTAATTTGGCTTGCCCGCAAAAACCGCCCACAAAATAACATGCTTGGGCTTGATATTTTAGAGTATAGACCGGGGTCCAGCTTTATAAATGGGGGCTTGCATACATGTGTCTGCTTATAATAATTGAAAATAGTACTATTGTTTTTCTTATAAAAAAGATAATGCAAATTAGTATTTGAACCTAGAAATTTATACGGAGTATATCTTTATTTACCTTGGAAAAAACAAAGATGTACGGAGTGTTGGAGCCTATCCCACACCAGAACTTGTAGTGAAAATAAATCGGTATATAAGCTCTTGAGTTGAACTAAGTAATCGATTGGATTCAATCTTTTAATGTGGTTCAACCCAAGTGTCTTATTGCCCCAATCTAGTTATCCATACCCATCCTAAATTCTATCATGGTATCAAAGCAAGTTTTAGCCTACCTCGTTTATCAAGGTGTCCGTCTAGACGATCATTCCTAGCGGCCCGTTAGTCTTAAGCCCAGTTGTCCGTATGGAGGTTGTACCCAACGGCATGTGGCCTGTTTAACACGATTGCTCGTCTGGAAGTCCATACCCAGCGGCTCGTGGTCCTTTAGGTGTTGGCGCTCAAAAAAAATCAAGGGAATGAGACTTTATTTGCAAGTGATCAACCGCTTAGATTCAAAATGGCTCGGTTGTCCACTTGAGGGGGAGTGTTGGAGCCTATCCCACACCGGAACTTGTAGTGAAAATAAATCGGTATATAATTAAGCTCTTGAGTTGAACTAAGTAATCGATTGGATTCAATCTTTTAATGTGGTTCAACCTAAGTGTCTTATTGCCACAATCCAGTTATCCATACCCATCCTAAATTCTATCATGGAGTAACATTTTCTTATGTTATACTACCTCCGTTCCAGAGTATTTGTCCACTTTTATTTTTACACACCATCCAATACACTTCTTTAATCCATTTTATCTTGTAATTTGTATATTAAAAAATTATAGATATTATATATTTATAATCTATATGTTAAGACAAATCAAACAAGATCACACATGACTATATTTAGGCTTACACATTGAGAGAATTTGATGAGTCAAAATGCTTAGATGAACAGTTCCAAAAGTCAAAACTGGACGAATACTCCGGGACGGATGAAGTATATAAATAAATAAATGGATATACTCCCTCCGTCCTAAAACTTTCTTCCCAGAGCACTATTTCAACTTCACGGGAATTTATATTTATTTGTGTTTTTTCATG